TTTTTCGCGTAACGCGTAACCGCGTAACTAATCAGAAGCGAATATGCGTAACCGAAAATGCAAAACGCTTCTAATTGGTTACGCGGTTTAGCCTTAGGCTGAAGTCACATGGCATGTATTTTCCGCGTAAAGGTTAATCCAGACAAACTTGCATAGCGCATAAACATAAGCATAAGAGAATTGATTGGTCCATATACATGTGCATAAGGAAATAGACCAATCCGTTTCTTTATGCATATGGTTATGCACCTATGCAAGTTTGTCTGGATAGACCTTAACCGCGTAAACAATAAGAAGCGTGCATATGCGTAACAGAAAATGCGAAACGCTTGTGATTGGTTACGCGGTTACGCGTTACGCGAAAAATACCTGCCATGGGACTCCGACCTATACGTATCGCGTATGTTACGTGATATTCTGATTTTATCGTGACAAAATTTACGTAATAAATATTTGCGTAACCAATCAACTGTGACATCTAATGCTAGATCTGCAAGTCGTAAAGTCGTGAGTCGCAAGAATTGACCAATCACAATCGAATTTGAGGAGAATAATAGACTGTCAATTTTGCGACTCGCGACTTTGCGACTCCCATTGTAGACCTAGCATTAAAGACATTCAGTTCCGCGTAACAGAAAACGCGGAACGTCTTTGATTGGTTATGCGATTCGCGTTAAGCCGTGATCAGATTACGAATTGGGATTGAGATTGAATTGAAATTTGACTAATTAGAGTAGTTTCCTTTATTCTGATTGATTAAATTTCAATGGAACTTATGCTAGGTCTACAATGCAAGTCGTAAAGTCGTGAATCGTAAAAATTGACCAATCACAGTCGATTATTCTCCTCAAATTCGATTGTGATTGGTCTATTTTTTACGACTCACGACTCGAATTTATATGTATATGGGGCATTCTCTGTCAATCAGACACCTCCCGTCCAAAAATTGGGGTCACCTGGAAAATTCATTTGGGGCTCATTTTATAGCTATACATATGTAGTTTTATTTGAGCTGTGGCCTTTTGAAAAATAAAAAATTTCGTGTCCCTACAATCTTTTATTACATACAATCTATTAATTTAAAAAAATTCATTTTTTTCCATAGATTCAATGCTAACTACTAAATAAACCCATTAATACATATTTCTATGACAGTCAAAACTGTTTTATAACTTCCAAGTAACGATTTTATTTGTCGTACATACCTCGTTACCCGCAGATTTCGGCCACCATATTGGGGTCCGCCATGTTGATTTTTCAAAAAACCACAGCTCAAATAAAACTACATATGTATAGCTATGGTGAAAGAACACAGGTGTGCTCATACTCGTGACGAATTTCATACGGTTCTGCGCAGATGCCAAATGCAGCCATTTTTAAGTGGCAGTTTCAAAACATTTAAGGTTGTACCAAGTGACTTTGTAACATATCATGAGTAAAAAAGTGACGCATATAAAAGGAAGAAAACAAGAAAAATGAGAAGAATTACTAACATTAAAAATAAGTACGCATTACATGTATATGTTTTTATATACTTTGTAATTATATCATATACGTATGCAATATTAATCTCATATATTTTTCAAACTGATTTATTCTTTAACGAGTGTTCTTCTTATATATAAATTAAACACAAAAATAAATAAGTAAAACATAAAAATAAATAAGTAAAAGGCTGCGGTCCACTTGACGCTACAAATACTTTGGAGCGTTTTTCTTCTCTTTCTTTTTTCATTGAAAGAAAATAGAAGAGGAATGCTTCGAAGCATTTGTAGCGTCAAGTGGACCGCAGCCTCGCACAAGACTCTCGTATGATAGCGTAGCGTAACTTATAAACGTGGATCAACGCACAAGAAACGTATCGGTTAGAGCCACTGCACAAAACTTTCCTATGGTAACGTAATGTAGATCAACGCACAAGAAACGTATTGACGTATAAGGGTGCCGTTACATGCGGCGTAACTTGCGTAAAGCGTAACCTGCGTATCCTAGTGATTTAAGAGAAGTTACGTCCATGATGCATCAAGGTTACGTCATTTTCTAGCCTGGGTTTACATGGAGCGTATTTCGCGCAATGCGTAACTAATACAACCAATTGGAGATCAGAGTTACCGTTGTATCCTTCAACAGAAATATAAAACTGATTTGCGATTGGTTCTCGCAACTTACGCATTGCGCGAAATACGCTCCATGTAAACCCAGGCTAGAAAATGACGTAACTTCTCTCTCTGCATCTGCACTTGAAATTGGTTATGCCAGACTCGGAGGTTATGTGTGTTCTTTTATCTCAACCTCCACCAGATGACATGAAGAAAATTGCCATATGATGTAAGATTTACATATAAAATATGTTATTATTCAAATAATTTATACAATTATATTTTATATATATAAGAGAATGTGCTCTAAATTTGTGAAAATAAGAACTCTACATGTAAGATATTTTCATTGTAATATATACTTTCAGCCTGATATGCTAAAATGGGATAATCACCGTCACAGAGCGAACCAGCGTGAATCACGTTGAACAAATTTATTGTTAATGTGGACTTAATGGTGAATGATTTATAATAACGATAATAACGTATCGAAATATGTGTATCGCAGCAATAACATTGCTGTCTAATTTTCAGGACTATTACAAACTGCTGACTACGATTTAGATATACCCCGACAAACCCCAGTATTCTGCGTGAGTGGGAAAGTAGTGAGGATACCGTGTGATCTCCAGATTAAACAGTTGATTTAATGTACATACATACAAGATGGAATTGAATCAAATAGATCCTGACCTGATATTAATCGTTATATGGAAACGATGGCTAAAGTGGAAGAAGATGAAACAAACGCGTCAACAACGGAAAGTTGTGAAACGTCGTATACTAAAACTGTTTGTAATATGGAAACTGATGGTGTTGCAAGAGGAAAACGCTCGTCACAGAATATGGGTGCGCCCGATATTCAGAGAAAGACAAAGGTTATTCCAGGGTGCCAGTGAAAATTTGGTCAGAGAAATGGAATTTCAAGACCACGAAATGTTCTACAATTATACTAGAATGTCCAGAGAGATGTTTGATGAGTTAATGGTTATTGTTGGGCCATTCATAGAAAAACAATGTGTCGTCCGAGATCCAATACCAGCCCGTATCCGGCTTTTAGTATGCCTGCGTTATTTAGCGTCTGGGGACACTATGGCTTCAATTGCTTATGCTTTTCGAATTGGAATAAGCACTGTCTCAAAAATTATTTCTGAGACATGCGAAGTATTATGGAATACTCTCCACGAATCAGTTTTCCCTGAAATAAATGAAGAGAATTGGTTGAAAATCGCGAATGATTTTGAGACGAAGTGGAATTTTCCGCACTGTATTGGTGCGATAGATGGGAAGCACGTAGTAATACAGGTGAGTCGATGTTAAGATAATGTATTTTATATTTACTTTAAAAGATAAAAATTGTAATTTTCCATTTCAGTCACCTCCTCGCAGCGGCTCAACGTTCTACAATTACAAGGGAAATCACAGCATCAGTTTACTAGCGGTTTGTGATGCCAACTACTGTTTCACACTAGTTGACATTGGTGCGGAAGGCAGACAGAGCGATGGCGGTATCTTCGCGCATTCAAACTTTGACCAACGATTCGAAAGAAACCAAATGAATTTGCCAGAACCGAGACCGATTGAAGCTTCTGGGCCCGCATTACCGTTTGTGTTAGTAGCGGATGAAGCATTCGCTTTGACTCGTTACATGATGCGACCGTATCCACGAAGCGGACATCTGAACCGTCAAAGAAAGATATTCAATTACCGTCTCAGTCGAGCACGAAGAATGATCGAAAGCGCTTTCGGCATTTTGGTAGCAAAATGGCGAATTTATCGTCGATCGATAATTGCATCTGTTTCTACTGCAGTCAAAATTGTTCAAGCGACTATATGCTTGCATAATTTTATTATCCAAAAAGAAAACAAATTGCCACTCTCTGAAAGGCATTATATAGGCATGCTCAACGAAGAGAGAGCCGTGATAAACGGTGCATTACAGGAAGTGAACGACGCAGGCAGAACTAACGCCCACGCCCGAATTGCCTCTAGAAATCGAGACGATTTCGCTGCATATTTCGAAAACAGCGGGGCAGTACCCTGGCAGTGGGAAAAAGGTCTACTCGACGATTTCTAATTGAAAAATCGAGAATTTGATCAAGTCTCTATCAGAATTTGCAACTTGCGATCAGGAACCTACCAAGAATTTTCCGACAACGACTGCAAAACATAACTCTGAATTTAAAAGACGCTACATTAGGTTCTCCGAAGAACTCAAAGCACTTCCCACGAATGTCAGAAACTTTTCTTATTATCGCTCTCTAACGTTAATGCGTCCTTCCTACCTGGTAAAATGGAACCGTGAGCAAATAGTAATATGGGCGGTTTTATGCTAGGAGAAACGGACAGTGCGGCGACTGTTGGTGTGCATCGAAAAAATCCATAAAAATCGTTTTCTCTTTTGTACAAGTGCGGTCCAACGTGGATAAAAATACGATGAACGTGCAATTTTGCTTTCATACTCGCCTTTGTGGTAACCACTTCATACCTTTTCTATCCACCATCGCTACTCGTATTCCTAAAAAGTTTCTACAATGAAAATAAAAATTCGCTTAGTGTACGGAGAACTTAAGACACACGACTTACTGCAAATGTCCCCCAAGTTATATATGTATATTATTCTATTACTATCTACTATACTACATTGTTACTTTCTTTTTTCTCCTTTTTTATTGTAACAGAGCACAAATCGACGTTTTACGAAATTGAGACGAAACGTTAGGGATACGTCCAGTGTCTGATACCTTCAATTATACCTCAACGATTTTTCAAAATTGTATGAGTCATTAGCACCACATAGATGACAGTTTCCAATCGTAAATGACAAATTGCTAGTTCCTACGTTTTTCACGCTGTTAACGCTTTCTCTGCACATTGAAGCTTCTACTTCCACAGCGAGAACAATTGCTAATTAATAGACATTTATGCTGCTCAGGTGATATACTAGCATTTACTATGCAGGATTTTACTATTTCCCAACAAGAGATGTTATCGTTAATATACACGTTGACTTCCGTAAGTATTGCTCAGAAGCCAAGCTTCTTAACTTTCTTAAGTTGTAAAACATGCTGATATAATTCCAATTTGATATTAACAAGGGGAAGCTTGTGAAATGCGACTTGGGCGATTGTTTTCGTTTCTTCCGAATGAGTGCAGAACTGTGCAACTACATAAAATAAGACAGCGTACTTTTTAAGAATATCTGAAGAAAAAATTATACAGCCATTAAGAATATACAATGCCATTGTTAAACTTTTTATTTCATATGTTTGCGTAAACCAGTACAAAATTTTGAACTAAAACTTATATACTTATATAACTATAATTATTATATTTGTCATCCACCTGTTGAAACGATTATTTTTTTGTAACGTATTGCGTTTTTGCGGATGACTTACAAGTAAGAGCAAGTGCGCTGTGTGTATACGTAATGTATGTATGAATGCCTCTGTATGTAAAACTAATTTGTAATAAATGAAAGGAAACGTTTTTAATTAATATTGCAATTAACGCATTGATTATTCTTTTTTATTCTCACAAAAATCTCCGTCTCTGCAAGCAACGTTAGAAATCGTATTTCCAGGCGAGCTCTGTCACGATATGGCAACCTTCGCATACCTTCTCCCAATCGAATTAAAAATCCATCTAGCGGATTAGTAGTTTGCGTTGGCTCCACTGTTGAGTCATCCTCTTTCAACGCTTTTATCAACGCTGTTTGCAAATCTTCGCCCTTTTGCTCTAAAACATAATGTAGACGTACTGTTAGCCGGGTATCGGCTAAGGGGATCGAGTTCCGCTCGCGAGCGAGAAAGGAGTGAATCAACACGTCCGATTTCCAATTTATATCTTTATTGAATAAATGGGCTTGTTCTACACGAGTTGTCTCTTCTTGTTGAGTTCCCGCCTTGCGGTTTGTTTTCAGGAAATCGTAGGTGTTTCGACGCGACTGCTAGCTGTTCTTCGACCGACTGCCCGGCATGCCAATTCGGCGGTCTTTTATAGTCTTGCGACCGAGTCTTGTTGCTAACTCGGGACTTCCGAGTTAGTGCGGAATTCTCGTTGCCGACGCCTCGCGATGGCCTTCGCGTCAGCGATTTCGGTC